GTTAATGTTGGCGACTTGATCGAGTCAAGATGACGGCACATACCAGCAAACATTCATAAATATCATGGAGAGAAAAGATTGCAATGCCAGTGGCAGGAATTATGAAACAGGAAATAAAAGCAATTGGGTTTTTAAACCATGGTTCCAGGTGAGTTGAGATTAATTGGGTGTTTATCAAATCCTCTGGATTCACAGAAGTGATACACCTGCAAAAAAAAAAAAAAAGTGACCGAAGGTAGCTTCCAGGGGCTGATGTTGGATAAAAGTTAACTTTGATATATGGCTAATATTTGCCAACAAAAATACCTGGAATATTTGGAGAGGCTTCCAATCATCACAAAGAGTGACCTACCAAAATTTAAAAAAAAACAGCATGAAGCTTGTCTTGGAATGGGCACTAGGATGTGGAAAGCAAGGAGACATTGTCACCATGACAAAAATCAGATGAAAAGGAGGGATTCTGTTCAGAGCTGTTTGTTGAGGTTGCCCACTTGCCTTTTGTATGTCTCAAGGATGATCTTGAAGTCCCTCAGCCTACCCAACATCTTAAGATGTTCTCCATTTCCTTCTCAGTCTACTCATGATTCCAGGATAGATCTCATTTTTCCTCCAAGATCAGTCAAGTAGTCTAATGTAGTCGTAATTCTTCAGTTGCTCTGCTCTGGGGAACAATCCCTCCACTATCTTGACTATTGACCTACCTGGTCCCTGGACAGCAGAACAAGTAGAAAATTATATGAGTGCTGGCAGACTGAGGCTGATAATACACCTAGCCCTGATTTTCTTCAGCTCCAGAGAGGTGAACCTCAAAACTGTTGATCATTGGTCTACACCAAGAGCTATGGAAGACTGCTCTAGTAACAGAATAACAGAATTGGAAGGGACCTTGGAGGTCATCTAGTCCAAGCAGAAGAGCCTATGCCATTTCAGACAAATGGCTGTCTAATGTCTTCTTGAAAACCTCCAGTGATGGAGCATCCACAACTTCTGAAAGCAAGCCGTTCCACAGGGTTAAATTGTTCTCACTGTCAGCAAATTTCTCCTCTAATGTGCGTTTTTCTTCTTTTCAATAATGGATTCACTGCTGCTTCTTTGACTTGAGGATCACATACTGGTGCTCCTTGAACATGTGGTCTACAAGTAGAAGATTCAGCTAAAACATGCTTTTCCCTCTTCTATTATCCAGGAAACGTTTCACCAGAAAGGATAGCTACCTCAAACCACTATTTAATCTCCAAGTTATAGTTACGGGCACTTGAACCAAATTGCACCTACATCTTCTCCCTTTGAACTTCAAAGGTTAAGAATTGAACATAGGATTCTGCATTCAGGGCTGAGCCAAGACATTTCCGGGGGGCGGGGGGGGCTCAAGGTTACATAAATCTTTGTAGGTCAACAGCAATCTTGTGAATTGATGCTAACTTCAGGCCAGCAAAGACCTTATAATGGCAGGGAAGATTCAAACAATGCAGAGAGCTCCAGATAGGAAGATTGCCAGCTTTATTTCCAAAGGCTGCCCACGTTTGATCTGACCTGTCAGGGGAAAAAAAAAACCACCTTTTTAAAGCAAGAAAGAAGATTTATGCAAGGAAAGCCAGTTGCTGGAAGCTATTCGTTTACCTGCTGGGCTTCAAGAAGGTCTGAAGTTGCTATTGAACGAGAAAAATGAAAGAAAAATCTTTCCATCAGTCCTGATTAAATTTCCCCTGCCCCGAAACTGTGTCTAGGTTTAGACACAGAAGGACCTCAGGTCCTTCTCAGAGGGGTGGATGAAGTATCGCAGATTAACCTTAGAGACGTTATATTCCTGAGGTTTAATCCTGGCAACTCCGAAATGTTGATGTTGAAGGCTGAGCGGGATTAATGAGAGCTAAATCCAGTCTCGCCTTTGGAGAAAAAAAAATTGCTCTCACTGGTTTACTGGCGTGGTGCTATCTCAGCTTCAAATCTCGGAAGGAGAAAAAAAAATGCAGAGAAAGGTTGAGAAGACTCCTAGAACTTTCCCTTTTCCAGAATGCTCTAGAATTGGGAGAATCCTCAGTTTTGGTTGCCAGGTTATAAAGAAGATGTTGAGACTCTAGAAAGAGTGCAGAGAAGAGCAACAAAGATGATTAGGGGAACTGGAGGCTAAAACATACGAAGAAGGGCAGGAATCAGATATGTCTAGTTTAAGGAAAAGAAGGAGTAGGGATGACATGATAGCTCTCTTCCAATTTTTGAGGGGCTGCCCCAAAGGAGAGGGGGTCACCTTATTCTCCAAAGCATCTGAAGGCAAAACAAGAAACAATGGATGGAAACTAATCAGGGAGAGAAGCAACCTAGAACTAAGAGAAATGTCCTGACAGTGAGAACAAATAACCAGTGGAACAGCTTCCCTTCAGACGTTGTGGGTGCTCCTACACTGGAGGTTTTTAAGAAGAGATTTGTCTGAAATGGTATAGGGTTTCCTGCCTGAGCAGGGGGTTGGACAAAAGACCTCCAAAATCCCTTCCAACTCTGTTATTCTGACAAAGCCCAATGAGGCAACCTACAATGCAGATGTTGTCGCCCTTTGGTAAGCCTGGACTACAACTCCCAGCATTCCTCAACCTTGGTGAGGTGGTCAGGAGGTGAAGTTCAACAGGATCTCAGGTTGAAGCCTCAGGGTGTCCATTTGGGTTGATGTTAAGTAGTTCACATGTTATTTCTCCAACCAACTTACATTTAGCCTACATTTGGCTTGGAAGGACACTAAGATCAGTTATTCCACCTCCACATCCGTTCGGAGCTAAGCTCTCCACCAGATGGGAATCCATTCACCCAGTATGCCCATTCAAGGAGTATCCTAGATGTGAAAACGAAGATAACTTGAGAAAGTCTGCTTTGATATTTTGTGCGTAAGCAGGAAGTGTGTTAATGCAACAACAAGCTTGTTTTGTAACGCTCCTTCTTGGGTGTTGCATTCAGGAGATGTTAAACACCTATTTTTATACCCAAGCTCTCCCCCATCTTATTAGACTCTTTATTTTTTAAAAATTGTTGCCTGGTGATTTTATAATCACATATACAATTCCGGCGGTCGGCTTACTGCGGTTATCTGTCATTTGTTGCCGTTTAGGGCTGGGTAGAAATTGTTATGATTTTAAATGGGATGTGATTTTCATATTGATTTATAATGTTAGCCAACATGAGCTACTTTGACCGGAATTGAGGCAAATAAAAACACAATCAAGAAAGAACACAGTCGCTTGGTGGTTTAATGTTGCAGATCCCGTAGGTAGCAACGCAGCCCCTAAAACAGCTTTTTAGAAGGCAAAAAAGCAAGGAGAAACTCACCAATTGACCCCAAAATGTGCTTTTTGAGTGGGCTCATCTATCACCACCACCATCGGATAGGAGGGCTTCCAAGACACTTGCAAAGTTCACGCATGTCCAAAAACCCAGGTGCTTTTTGAGTTTGTGTTGATAATATTTTCTCAGAATAATTTCTCATTAATGTGTCAGACTTCCTACTGCAGTTGGCAGAAGGGTTGATCAGAAACCCTTTTCCAGGCTGATTTTTCAGCTGCCTTCCTCTCTCTCCTGCCCTCCCCCCAAAACTCAAGAAATAGCCCAGGCAAGCTGACCGACTTTTAAGACCATCTTGTAGTCATCCTTCTAAGTCTGGCTTCTCCCCGGCATTTCTACAATCTCATTATCTCTAGCCATAAAACGAGAATGTATGGAGAGCTGTTTGAGGCCAGGAAGAAGCAGCCTCTCCTCTCTTTTTTTCTGCGAAGTAATAAGCCCATCTATTTAAATTTATGTCCCCGGAAATGGAAATCATCAAAAGCCGCCCCTGGGATTTTCCAGGGACAAAACAAGGTGTTCCAATTTCTGCAAGAATAAAGGTTGCGCGAGGAGGAGAGGGAAGGTACATGGCTTTGCCAAAGAGGCATGGCTTTTGGAGATGGGGATTAATCTGGAAGCAGAATGGGTGGGCTTTTTTGGCAACTTGTTCTTCTGTCTTTCACAAGTTTGCAAATTCAGGTCATGCAACTTCAGCCGCCTTCCCACCAGTAAATGCTTAAGTGTGAGAGCAGCTGGGAAGCAAGAAGCTTATCAAATAAGACGCACAATTTCGGAGAGAATTGAGGAAGGTAGAAAGTCGTTGCTGCCTTGGGAATCCTGAATGTCTTAGACCAGTGTTTCTCAACCTTAGCAACTTTAAGAGGGGTGGATTTCAACTCCCAGAATTCCCCAGCCAGCACGCTTTAAGAGGGGTGGATTTCAACTCCCAGAATTCCCCAGCCATCATGCTTTAAGAGGGGTGGACTTCAACTCCCAGAATCCCCCAGCCAGCATGAAGTTGTTGAAGTCCACTTCTCTTAAAGTTGCCAAGGCTGACAGACCTTTTGAGAAGTCACCACTGAAAATGAAGGTAGCCATGACTCAGATTCAACTGGAAAGTTAGCTTTTGAGCCTCCAACTCTTAGCCCAAGCTACCTTGCTTTGAGATTTTAGAAGAAAAGCAGTATTTAAATCTGGAAAATAAGTGTTCCACAGGACAGAACCAAGCCACCTTATCAGCACATGTCATAAATTCTACGACAGCTGTCAGTATTTCTGTCCTGGCACGGTCTGTGCCCACACACACACCCCCCTTTGAATAAAAAATGGCTACCAACCACTATTAAATTTCTGGTGTAGAATTACTCTTATAAAGAGTTCATACATTACCCACAATGCCTTTGAGTTCAGTCTCTTCCAACAGTCGGGCCTGAATGCACCCCAGAAAGCAATAGAATTTAAAAATACTGTCCTTCCTCACCAAAAGCAGGGCTTTGCCAAACATTAAGTCCTCAAGAGAGTTTTATTGGCTCCAAGCACGATGCGGGTGGTGGCTTTCTGCCACAAAATCTGATTAATTTTTGGTCTGGTGGTCTGAAAACAATATGGCAAATAAAAGACACTAGGCAGTCCAAACACCCCCAGAGCTGGTAAAGATCCTGCCGTGGAGGCCTCGGCCCCCTCCCCACCAGCTATTCGTTGTAGTGCTTGCGCCATTTGGCCGCGGATCGGATCATGGCGGCTGCCACACCCATCATGCCAATTGTTCCCACAGCTATGGCTTCCGTGACCTGCAAGAAAGGACAGAGAAGGTGATGAAAAGCGCGTCCTACGGTTGAGCCCATTTTACAGACGGTGGCTGGGAAGACTGAGGTGTATCTAAGAGCTACAGGCTGAAAAAAAACAAACCAATCAAGAATTCTCCGCGTTCTTTCACAGCCCAACCGCCAAAAAGAATAATGTGGCGTCAAAATGGGCCACGTGGTCCCTCAGAAGCTTCCCCTTCTTGGGAAAGGAGGCTTCTGTTTTTCTGCCTTATTCACAGATTTCACGGATTTCTCTAAGGGATGTTATGGACCTGATGTGATTGACTTCCACAAAAATATCTTAGGATTGTTATGACTTAATGGGCGGGCTCCATTACGGTCGTAACTCAAGGACTGCCTCTCCTCAAGAACCCATCTATCGGGGCCGTTTCCATTCCTCAGAGACGCAAACAATACAATCAGTACAAAAGAAATAACCAAGAATTTAGCTGTGTTTTAAACTCACTTCGCCAGGTGATAGGATCAGCTCTGGATTTAACACTACTACAGATGATCCTCTACTTACCACGATGCATTTAGTGGCCGTTTGGAGTTACAACTGCACTGAAAGAAGGGAGTTGGGAGTTTTTTTTTACACTGACAGCCATCTCAGCATCTCCAGAGCCATGCAATAAAAGGGCTTGCAACCAGTCCTCGCACTTACGGCCGTTGCAACATCCCCCCAGGTCACATGATCAACCTCCAGCAGATATTGCCGTGTCCTGGGATCACGTGATCACCGTTGGTGACTTCCCCAGCCAGCTTGCGACAAGCAGAGTCAATGGAGGAAAGCTGGATTCATCTAACAACTG